CAAACCTAAATATCCAGCTAGCAGATGTTTGGGAGCTTTTATGAAGGTTAGTTAGGATTCGAAGGCTTTAAGAGTGCTGTAATAATGTTGTGCCCAAAGTTTAGCCTAAAATTTGGCTTGACTACTGGCTATACTCAATCATGGCTCTAGAGATGGTGATGAGGGTCAGTTGTTCCACCAGTTTGGTCGGGATACAAAAAACAAGACAAAACTTAAGCAACATTTTCCATCGATTGCTGTAAATATGTTTAAACATTCACTAAGCCCTGAGGGTGAAATTTCTCCAACTGTTGGACAAATTTCTTAAATTTACAGAGACATTTATGCCCCTTTTCCTAATTTCCTAATTTCTTTGGTAATAACTTTTATGATATTAAAAAGCCCCCTGAGTCCCTGAGAAGCTTAACAGAGAAATAAACTCAACTACGTCAGCACACCTGTCACTCCAGGCAGCCACGCCCTCACTTTAAACTTTAAAGCATAATTTCAGGATTAGTTATTTTAAAAATTAAGGTCAAACTATGGTGGGATGCAGATGAAAACTCAAGACTGTTCAGTACACATGTATGTTGTTATATGTTTGGCAAATTACTGCTCAGCAACAGCAGCTTTTCTTTGTTTCCAAATGAGAGTCGATGCAAGTGAAAAGCTCTGATGACAGCCATGCTTTCCTGTTCTCTCACATTCGCCCTTTCATTGCTCTTATGGTAACATAACGTCTTCAACTCAGAGTTTACTTTGATTTACTTTTAGTTATAATTTAGGCGTCTTCCTTTAGTTTAAGTTTAGTTTTAGTCAACTAAATATCATAAAATTGTGGTGGACTAAATGAAAAGTTGATTAAAATATACAGTGAAAAAGTTTGTGTTGTTATCGGGGAGAATTTTCCACAATGTCAAATGCGAAATGTGTCCATATACGTGTTTTTTTTTTTCTTCCTCTCGACATTTATGAGAAATGGGAATCACTTCCAAACACTCCTACACAACTTAATTACTTCTGATCGGATCACGCCTTTCCAGAATATTTTCATCTTGTTTTTATTTGTTGACCAAAGTGTCATCATAGTTTTCGTCCTTCTGCATTAGCTTTTAGTTATTGTCTTGTTTTCGTGAGGAAAAAAATGTCACTGACGAAAATTGCTGGTCAACAAAATGAACACTGCTTCAGCTAATTATTATTAATATTATTTTGCTTTATTTCATTTGTGACCGATGTGTGTGTGAGCAAGTGCACCAACAAGTGCAGCAGCCAGATGACTCTCAAACTTACCTGGATTGAGATTTAAATGAGCTGTACTTCCAATTAAGTAAACTCAGGTCTTGGGTGTGTGTAATACATTTTGTTTTGCAAAGATAGACAAGCATTGTGATAGACAAGTGAAGCCTGATATCGCTTTACACATAAAAGAATGACTTGCAGTTTTTATCTCGGAGTTAGGTTGGATTGATTCCCGGGGAGGCCAAAACCAGGCTGTAAACATGCATCCGAACCCTGTAAATTCAGAAATCTTAATGCATGAGTCCTTGGGGAGTCAGCCTCGAGTGGCGGTTAGAAAAGTTTGGTTTTTGGTGTTTCCGTGTTGGCTTCATTTTTCAGTCCGCTTGGGAATGCGCACACTTCAACTGGAACTACATTTTCCCCAAAGGGAGTTCCTGCACTGATACAAAACTGCAAGAAAAAAGAAAAGTTGAAGACAGCAAAACAAAAAAATGTGTGTGTGTGTGTTTTTATGATGCAGTCTCACATACATTTAGCACCTTGAGTCAGACTTACTGAGCTGGATGAGAATGTGTGAGTTTCAGAGCCTGTTCATAGAAGCGTTTACACATTCAGGCTCTTAACGTGTATAAAAAAAATAGTTCTTCTTGTCATTTTAAAATAGTCTTTGAAAACTTTTTTTTCTAAAAAATTTTATCCAATATTTTCCGTGTTGTGCAAGCAACTTGATAGCTCTGTAAGAAATTTGAAAGAAATCCATATTTAAGATGGCTTGAATACTCATTCTACATTTTAATTTTCAATTTCATTCTTTTTAGGTTAGTCATCTGGTTAGGCTGCAACTTTTATTTAAGAAACAATTTACAAATTACAGCAAAAATCTGAAATTAATTTTAAATCCAAATGTAGCCTTTTTAAAAAAAACATGATACTCTGACCCAACACTAGTGTGATGCTCCCAGAAGTCTAAATCTGATCACGTCTTTCTGTGTGCAGGTGTGCTTTCTCCCGCGAAGTCGATGGATTTCTCGTAACACCGTGATTCCTGCCTGCTGCAGCGTGTCAGCTGGACGACCTCTGGGACAGAAGAAGCAAGCGGGCTCCTTCAATGAGCGGAGGGAATTGCAGACCTTAAGCTGGAGGGAGCGTGTTCAGAGGGGTTGCCATGGCACCTGGATACAGAGACACTGGACTGAGGAGAGTGGGAAGGACTGCAAGCTGGAGGGACCCCTGTCCAACTGTCAGGTGGATTCGTGGTATGTTGTTGTGGGGACTGCTCTGCCTGCAGTCAGAAACTCTCCGTTCTGTGATGGAGGGTTGTTAAACCACTTGAACGAAGCACTGATGGACACAGCTGTAGATTGGACCCACGTGACTTCTTGTGACTCTTGCCATGTGGTTTGCACGTCCTCCATTTTGTCAGAGGTTGCAGGCCAGTGTGTCTTTAAAGCCGACACTTTAGGAGGCAAAAAGAAGACAAAGTGTCTGGTGTTTGGCAGCTGCTCGGTTTGGGGGATCTCTGATAGCCAAGCTGAGGATCTAGTGTTAACATTTTCTGCAGAGCCTTCATTTCCTGAAAGAGGCTCCGTGTTGCTGCACGATGGTGAGCCACTGTATCAGCGGCAGCTCTTAAGTTGTGTTATGTTTGCCCTGCAGAGCCTGAGCTCTGGGGACGCCCTGCTGCTGCCTGTGATTTCTGCTCTCACCCGTGTCACGGCAGCCGTTGTGCTCTGCCTGCACGCATGTTTTCGCTCTGTCTCCTTCAAGTGCCCTCCCCCCTCTGGAGGGGTTGGGACGGTGCTGGTGTGTGTTGGCTTCTGCCCTGAAGCCGCTGCCCAAATGCTGCTGGCTCTCGCTGAAGTCTGGGAGAGCATGAGCCAGCTGTTAAGAGATGAGGAGAGTAAAAATGAGCCTGGTGGAGGCGACAGACAGGTGCTGCAGTTTGTTCCCATGGAGGAGCTGCTCACTGGAGGACTGACTGACTTCCTGTGGACCGTGAACTCTGAAATCATCCAACGGAAGCTGCATCTGCTCATGCAGGCATAGCGCTTTGGTGGGCTGTCACTGTGGTATACACTCTTTCGCTTCAGAAGCAGTTTCATCATGTCACAGTCCAGTTTATTTGCTTATGGAATCAGCAGACTGCTCAGCTGCATGAGCTTTCAGCAGTTAGTCACCGAATCGCTTTTGCATGTTGATATGAACTCATCTGATTTAACATTACACTCCTCCCACTTATTTATTACAACACACCTCCAGATTTTCAGATCCTTCAGTGCTTCAACTCGAACCGACGCTGGCAGTCAGAAGACGTTTATCAGACTTCTCTTGATGGATGCAGTCACGTGTGAGACATCTATCAAGTGGAGTCACAAACGTGGCATGGCAAAAAATGCAAATTACTTTCAGTACTTGATCAGCAGAAAATGTCCATGACCAAAGTCTCAGAGGAATTTCAGGATGCTAAATAAACAGCGGTCCAGCTGTCGGCACCAAACCTGTTGGTCACGGATGTTTTGAGTTGACATCACAGAGAGCCTGAAGTGCCTGCTATTTTGCATCAACACGGTGTTTAATCCCACTGTGTTGAGTATCTTTTTATCTTTTATGCAGCTCCCCGGCAGATTACTGTTTCCAGTTAATTTCATTTGTGTCCAGTGAGGAAAACTTTGTACTATCAACGGACAGAAAAAAAAGTTCCATCTGTCATGCTCTGTACAGCTGGAGGGGGAGTGTTGTGGGATTTGTTTTATTTGTCATCTTTTTAGTTTGTTTATTCAGTTTTTTCAGTATAATTTGAATTAGGAGTATATTTTGTTATAAAAATAATGTAAAAAGAAAAGTGGCTTTAAAAAAAGGACATGGAGGCTTTCTTTTCTTTTAAGAATGCTAGTTTACTTAAGTCTGAAGATAACCCAACTAGTGTATTAACTCCTTAATGTCTAGTCATGTGTATCATATTTGATACATACAGTTTTTGTGAGTTTTTGAGACTTATACATCATCCGTGTGATTTCTTTTTTTTTCTCTCCCAATGAAAAACCAAAATAAAGTCCACAATACTCTCAAGCAATAAACTGCAAAAAATGTATGATACAAATTAAATTTTATATATGCTAAATTTTTTTTCTCAAAAGGTTCAATAAACATGAAATTAAAAAAAAAAAAAGAAGAATACTGTTCTGGCAGTTGTTTCATGGCTCACACTTAGTTAGTTCCAAGCTCGGATAAATGAGGTTTTGATACTTGATTGGTTGAGACCCGGGTTAACAACACATGGTGCTTCTCTAGGATGGAGTTCATGGTGTGACAGAAGGTGGTGCTGGGGACAAAGTGAGATATAGGCAGATGTTTTTTGAAGCCAACTTTAAAAAGGAGCATCCAAAAGATCAACACGATCTCGGTCCTGCGCAAAGTTCTTGAACTACTTGTAATTTCTTTATAGCTTGTTAGGAAATAGGTGCAGCAATTGTTTGTGATGTACAAACATTTGTGGAAACAGAGTATCTCCCAATTATCCCAAATGACTAAGCAGCACTTCCACCACCGTCATATTGTAGCTGTTGCTTTATCTGTTCAGCCATTCGTGGATATATTTGTGTCAGCATCTGTGGATGTAGAAGAAGCTGTTAAATCACCCTAACTGAGAAGGTTCACCTCAGAGGTTTCAGAAAAACAAACCAATAAATTAAACCGATATAAATAGTTGTTTATTAGTTCAGACAAGTTTGCAACCAGGATGGTGACCCTGAAATAATCCGAATGAAACAGTACAAATCTTTCATGTGAGTATAGGTCGAGTGAGATTAATCTGTAATATGGGTCAGTAATGGGGTCAAACCATTTAAAAACTGCCATTGTAAAAAGTAAGTTGTCTGGATTTTCATTATTTTGTTTAATACCATTGGAGTTTGATTGTCAGTGATCCAGTTTTCAGCTGTAATCTGCAGAATCAGAAAGTTAAATTCCACTAATCTTTTTTTCCCTGTTTGCCCGTCTCCATTAACACCACCACCCCACACACAATTTAGACCACAGAGATTCATACAGATGTACGGTTTAGGAGATTTAATCCAGCAAAAATAGGAAAAAAATGGATAGGTTTATTTAAAAAGTGTGTGTAAGAGAGAGACTGGGTTGTGTAACTTCAATATATTTCTTTCTCTGTGTAATATTCTTCTCCATTCTGCCATTGCAAATTATGCACACACACACATACACACTACCAAATAACTGAGTGTGTGTTGTTTCTGTTGATTCTGACCACGGGCCACTCTGGACTTGAAGTCATGCACAGTCAGTTAACTCAGTTCGACTCTCAGCAGTAAAAAATCCGCGAGACAGCGAGGCTTTGACGGGCGATCAGCTTGAGTGAGGAGAGACTACAGACCGCAAACAAAAGAATTTGATTATTTGATTTTTGCTTTTATTTCAGGGTTGAGCAGAATGTGTCTGTAGAGTAAAGATGTTGACAGTGAAACTCTCATTATGCAACAATAAAAAAAATAAAGACAGCAGGAAGATGCTGGTGAGGAGGGACATGTTCATCAGAGGGAATCAGTTCAGTCAGTTTTCTTTGTCTGATCTCACTTTCAGACAAGCTGTCTTGCTTGTTAGTCTCACTCTGCGACTTCAATCGCTAATCTGTGACAGAAATAAAATGGGTTGCAGTAAGTATTACCATTCCACAAAAACATACCTTTCAAAACAAAAAGACTACTAAACTCTTGGTTTTATTCTGTGCCTAGTTTTCATAATCCTGTTTCACATTAAATTTGCAAAGTGTTTGAAAAAGCTCTGCAACAGCTTCTGCAGCAGGTTTTTATCTGATCAACAGTGTTTTTCACCTTTAGGCCTCACGTGACTTCAAGGCTAAAGGGAGTCAAATAAAACAGCCTGCTGAGGGTTAAATGTCAAACACATGATTGATACAACAGTACAATAAAACTGACTTTTTTTTTCTTTTTTACAAAATACCCTCTGTGCACAGTTACACATTTTTTCTAATAAAACTATCAGAAAGCAAATAAAAAGACGATCAAAATATAAAAGATTATCAAAGGGATTAAACCTGAATTATCAGCGGGGGTGTGACTCCTGCCATTACAATACAAAAACGAGTCTGTTTATTAATCAAATCCCCAAAAGGAAAATAATTTCATAATAGGTCCATCTCACCCTGATCACCTACTCTTTGGGGTAATAAAGGAGATACAGAAGATACAGGTACAGAAAAATCAAAACAAGGACAAAAAGACAGATTTTACTGCAGAGCTGTACAGGCATTAAATGCTGCAATATCTATATGAATTGCTCTGTGCAATAAGGGTTTGTGCAGCCTGGGAGGCTGGTTCCTTTTATTTTTTGTTAATTTTTATGTCTTCATACACTTTTATATAGTTTATAGGTTTTATGATTGTTGCGAGTGATCTTCGCATTGCTGAAATTGCACTTAATTTTGCTGAGCATGTTACAGTGACAATAAAGATCCTGTCCTATTCATTTAGAATAAAACGATTTGAAGGTAAGCTAAAAAGCTGCTTGTGTACCTCACTGTTTATGTTTTTTTTTAAACAACAAAAAAACAAAGACATCGTGGCCAAAATGCCAGAGGTGAGGACTGAATATGGTACTAGTTGGTGACATCATGGGTGACTACTTTCATCTATGATAAGACAGTCTTTTGTATGCCTATTACTGACAAACAGCTTCTCCTCAGTTGTTTTGTCAGGTCCCACCTGTCTGCTTGACAAAGCAGTTCCATCAACCATCATCACTTCGATGAATATATCAGCATGTTTTCCTTCATGATATTTGGTCAGTTGATGAAGCTGTCAAAACAGATGTTTTGCCAGATGCTGTATCATCTTTGTGATAGAAGAAGATAAAATTGGAACTAAGAGCTCAATATCTGCTGAATGGTCTACCAGGGTTCTCAAAATCTTCAACTAGGGGTAGCTCATACTCACGGCAGATCTGTAGCATCACAAACAGAGCTCCCGCATCGAAGAAAATTCATTTTTCTCCATCAAAGCCTTGATAAGTTTGACTTCTTAGTTTCTTGAGTCTTTGAAAATGTTGCCTATAGACCTCTGGCACAAGCTCATAGACTTTGAAATGGCAACTTCAAGTTTCTTATGGTCGAGACAAACAGACTTTCTGAGCCTTGTTTGGACCTGAAGCTAGTGGAGTGTGCTAGCTATCAGCTCAAAGACCTCAAAGTAACAGAGGGTTTATTTAGACTTCTGTGTTAAATCTGAGCTATAGCCTACGCTGTAACCTGACTTGCACATCCGTGGAAATGGAACTACACCACACAGCTCCCAGTCACTATTGGGCAACCGTGGCTCAGGGGGTTGGGAAGCTCATCTGTAACCAGAAGGTTGCCGGTTCGATCCGCAGGCTCTCTGTCCTGGTCGTTGTGCCCTACTGCCTACTGGTGTTGGCCAGAGGGGCTGATGGCGCGATATGGCAGCCTATATGGCAGGGCTGTGGCTAGAACTGTAGCTTGCCTTCACCAGTGTGTGAATGTGAGAGTGAATGAATAGTGGAATTGTAAAGTGCTTTGGGTGCCTAGAAAAGCGCTATATAAATGCAATCCATTTTTATTATTGTGAATGTTCAGGACTGTTGACCTGTCCACCTCCAACTCTGTCTTGAGCTGGTACTCCCTCTCAGCTGGAGCTGTGCTAGATCTCTACTATACTTCCACACCAAACAAACTGGTTAGCCAATGCTAGAGTTATTACCCAGTCTAAGCCTAATTAGCAAGCTGAAACGCTATCGACACATTCAGCAATGACAGTTTGACATTGAGGCAGAACTCAGTAGTAATAACCTTAATAGAGCTTGGTATGGTGTGAAAACCCTGATAGGACTATAAACTAAGGGTAACTGTAACATTTCTTTAGATGGGGTTACCTCTACCTTTGTCACATATTAACAGTTTTTATTTTAGCTTTGAGAATCTTGATTGTTCTATGCAGACGAGTACAATAAGAAAAAAGACTAACACTCCTACATTTTGTATGATAATGGGAGGTAGCTAATCTCTTTAGACACACTAAGGTTAAGACTCCTGGATCTGACTACATCTGTGGACAGGTACTGAAAGCTTGTGCTGGTCAGTTGAGTGGGATTTTTAATCACAGTTTTTCACTTTCTTTAGAGTTTCAGACGGTACCTAAGACTTGGAAACATGCTGTCATTTTTCCAGCTGCTAAGGGCAGTTCCTCTAAGGTACTGAACGATTTTCGACCAGTGGCTCTGACTTTCTTTAGTGATGAAGTCCTTTGAGAAGATAATTAAGAAAGAGATTTTAATGCAGGTTGAACATCACCTTGACCCCTTCCAGTTTGCATATAGGGCAGGAAGATGTTTGGAGGATGCTGTTGTCACACTCCTGCATTTCTTGCATAAGCATCTTGACAGCCCTATCACTCATTCAAGATTATTATTTGACTTTTCACCTGCATTCAACAATTTAGCTCCCCTTACTTGCTGATAGGCTTTATAATCACTTTAAGCTTGATCCAACTCAGTTGGGTGCTAGACCTTTTGACTAATAGGTCACAATGCGTAAAGGTGAACAGTGTACTTTCTGATGTGCTCTCCTCTTCTACTGGATCTCCCCACGGTTGCTGTTTCTCACCCCTTCTGTTCATTCTGTATGCGAATGAGTGTCGCAGTAATTTCACTAACAGACACATCCTGAAGTTTGCTGATGATACAGTGATCATTAGTCTTCTTGTGGGCAACGAGACAGGACATGGGCAGGTTGTAGAAGATTTTGTGGATTGGTGTGATGAGTCCTTCCTTCCATTAAATGTGTCAAAAACAAAAGAAATGATTATTGATTTTTAGGAACTCTTCTTATAGCTCATCAACTACTATCATTAAAGCTGTTGATATTTAGATTGTGGAGAGTTACAAGTATTTAGGGGTTGTTCTCGACCACAAACTGTGTTTTGATGCCATTACCAAAAGTTCAGCAAAGACTATTTTTAAGGAAAATTAGATCGGTCTCA